GCCCAGTCCCACCTCTCGGGGTTGCTCAAGGTGCCCCTGGCCCAAGGTGCCCCCAGCTTTTCGATCAATTCTGGAGCCCCTGAAGCCCTCTGGGCCTCGGAGGCCGTGGGGGGCCTCCTTGGAAATCCTGGGGGCACGTGGGGCCAGGGGCGCTTCTGGCAGCACCCCAACCTCCTCCACCTCCTCCTTCCTCCTCCTCCTCCTTCCTCCTTCTCCTCCTCCTCCTCCTTCCTCCTCCTCCTCCTCCTCCTCCTCCTCCTCCTTCCTCCTCCTCCTCCTCCTCCTCCTCCTCCTCCCTCCTCCCTCATCCTCCCTCCTCCTCCCCTCGGGTCTGGCCTCCGCGAGCCACTCCTCGCCCTTCAAGGACGCGTGTGGAGCTCCAGGGCCGAGTGAGCACTGCGGCATGCCACTCCTCTGGATGCCGCCTCCTCTGCTGGGTTTCTCGGAGGAGATTTGACGGTTTCCCTCGGTTTGGGTTTTTCCTCGGTTTGGGTTTTTCCTCGGTTTGGTTTTTTCCTCGGTTTGGGTTTTTTTCCTCGGTTTGGGTTTTTCCTCGGTTTGGGTGTTTTCCTCGGTCAGGGGGGGGTCTCTCCTGGCAGGCGAGCCCCTGGAAATGGCGAGGGCGTCGCCTCCAAGAGCTGGACCTCCGCCTTCCTGGTTTCATCACAGCCGCCGAAATTTCCTTTCAGCCGAGCAGTACGACCAGGCGCAACCTCCTCCGACTTGAGAGGGTCCGAGCCCGTCTCCTGCACCTGGACACCACCCTTGCCATACCACTGGTCATGTTACCTCATCCGCGCCTCCTCTGGAAAGGCGGCGATTTTGCCATGGGCCGAGGTGGGGGCGGCGGGTCCTTCGTCCCGCTGCCTTTGGCCAGAGCGTCTTCGAGCCGTTGGTGCGAGTACCCCCCTTTGCCCGCAGGCTGGCGGTGGAATGTTGGGAGTTCGGCCAGAGGTTACGAGCAACCGTGGCACCAGTCGTTCCCGTCGAAACACCAACGATAGCGACAGGACGAGCATGCGATGTGCATTTGCTTATTCCCCCTGCCATGCTGGCCAATTCTGCTGCTACGGCCAGGAAGTGCGAACGTGTGACCAGTGCGAGTTCGTCGAGAGTACCGGAAGCTGACGGCCTGCTCATCATCGAGTAACCGCTCTTCGACATCGAGGGATGGAAGTTCGACGAAGCTCAGGTCAAAGAGTGGGAGAGGGTACCGTTGCAGTTGGCCGATAGAGTGCGCTCGGAGGTGGGGAAAGCACTTGGCTCCACAGCCCAAAACTCTGCAGAGCCCACGGGCCAGGCCCAGCAGCTAGCCAAGCGCATGCAGGCCAAGCGTCTGGAGGCTGAGCCAGCGTCAGATGAGTCAGCAGGCTCAGGAAGAGTGGCCTCAGCGGCAGCATCATCCTCGTGCAGTGGAGCGGCTCCGAAGCCCGAGCAGAAGCCCAATAACCCTCCTGAGAGGGCGTGCCTGCTCCTTCTGATGGCGGCGGACTTGAGTACGACGCTGTTGGTCATGGGCCTGGAGACCTGCGATAGGCAGTCAGAGCTGAAGCCGAAGGAGTCCTGGACGGGAGGAAGGCTGGTTGGAGGCCCGTGGGTGCTCCTCTTCCTCCCTCCTCCTACCTCCTCTTCCTCCTACTCCTACCTCCTCCTCCTCCTCCTCCTCCTCCTCCTCCTCCTCCTCCTCCTCCTCCTCCCTCCTCCTCCCCCCCTCCTCCTCTTCTACCTCCTCTTCCCCCTCCTCCTCCTCCTCCTCCTCCTCCTCCTCTTCCTCCTTCCCCCCCCTCCTCCTCTTCTACCTCCTCTTCCTCCTCCCCCTCCTCCTCTCCTCCTCCTCCTCCTCCTTCTCCTCCTCCTCCCTCCTCCTCCTCCTCCTCCTCCTCCTCCTCCTCCTCCTCCTCCTCCTCCTCCCCCTCCCCCTCCCCCATCCTCCTCCCCCTTCCCCTCCCCCTCCCCTCCTCCCTGCAGGCAGCTTCTCCTACGACACGGACTGGTTTCTCACTGGGGCCCGAGGAGCGAGCCTTTTGTTCACCTCGAGGTGGACTTTCCCCTACCCACGGGCGACGAGACGTCCCTCTACAGCAGGAATGTCTGGGGACGATGTTTCGTGCCCTGTGGCTATTTTTGTTTTGTTTTGCCTATGTGTAATTTTTCCTCCAAGATCCGCCTGTAGGAGGACATGCCCGACCTAACCCTTGGGTCCCCCTCCGGGGGGGGGGGCGATGCCTTCAACAGGCCCTAGGCCTGCCAGCAGGCGGCAGCCTCTGCGGAGATCGCCAGGGCCTCCGATGGGAGGTTGGTCGATGCCCGCGATAGGTCCCCGGGTGTTTGGGCGCGGCTTGGAATGCCAGATGCCTCGAGGCGCGTGGATCTACAGTGGAGACCCATGCCAAGAAACACTCTGCTTGCCTCCAGGGGTGCCCTGTGTTTCTTGGGTTTCGACGGTTTTGCTATGGAAAACGTGACGCTCTCACACCAAAAGTCGAGGGACGTCCTGGGGTCTCAGGGTCGGGTTTCTTGTGGAAGGTTTCTTGTGGTCGGGCTCCTACTGTACGCAGGTCCGCGGCTGCAGCAGTGGGAGAAGAAGGCCTCTTCTCAGGGAGCCTGCCCTTTGGAGGGCCAGAGCTCCAGCCGCTGCGTTTCCAGACTGGATTGGATGCGCTGGATTGGAAGTAGTTCCAGCCGCCAGGGTGGGGTCCCAACGACGGGGATGGTCGAAGCCCCCACCTTGGCGGCCCTTGCGACAATCAGAACACGAGCCAGATGGGGCGAACCTGATCTCGACCCTTTCAACGAGCTCGCGATCGATGTCGATCTGGACGTTTACGAGCCGCACCCTTCACCGCAGCGATCGCCTATTCTCGGGGATGCTGCTGATGGGGGTACGGACAGAGGGAAGCGCGCGGGGTTCATCCCGCATCGGGCGTTGGATCTGAAGGCAGGCCAGAAGCGAGTGAAGCATCGCCACGGGTATTTCGAGACCTGGTGGGAGAAAGCCACAGCGAGGACTCTGCTCCAGGAGCTGCCGCGGCGATGGAAGCTGATGCCAGGACGGAGTCGACCGTCGTCGATGGTGCCAGGCTTGCCCCCTGCCCAGCCACCAGGGGAATCCCGCCCTTCTGGGCTCCAGGGACCGGGTTCAGTGCAAGCGGGGGTCAGCCAGAGCGCTGGCTCTTGCAGGAGCCTGCAGAGCCAGGGCTGCGCTGACCCGGGGTAAGGCGCAGGA